AATATCCACTTTTTAAATTAACGGTAGAAAACCATTGAGCACCAAGAACCATATTCAATATGTCTTCTTGATGAGGAATTGGAGTTGAATCCTTAACTGTGACATCGTTTAATTTACGATAGTCAACACAAAATCTAATTTCATCACCTTTTTTTGGAACAAGAACAACAGGAGAAGCCCAAGGACCATTACATGGTTCTATTGCATTCTGTTGTTTCATTTCCTCCATAACTGAATCAACTTCATCCCTATAATGTAAAGGAATACGACGAGGAGCCTGTTTAATAGGAAGTGCATTTCCAACATTAATTTTATGTTGTAAAATTTTGCACTTTCCTAAATCAAAAGAATTTTTCGCACAAATATCCAAATTCTTCAATAAAAGTTCTTCAAAACGAAATTTATCATTGACATCCAAAAATTTTGAAGATCTTTCAAACAAATCTAAAACAAATTCTGGAAGTTTATTCAAAGAAGAACTAATTTTATTAATTGAAACAACTTTATTACTTTCTGAGAATTTTTTATCAAGAAGATCTTTAAAATCAGTAAATAAACCAGACTTGATTAAGAAATCTAATCCTAGAATACATTCTTCTTCAATTTGAGCAAAAACAACCTCTAAATTAACCTTAATATTGGAAATCTTTATTTCTACAGTCTCGATAAAATTAAAATCAAATTTATCACCTGAAATTGTAAAAATAGAATAAGAAATAGAAGAATTATTCGAAACAGTTACCATCCCTTTAAACAAAGAAGAATTAACAACCGTAACATCAGCAGCAGTATTAACTGTCATAATACATTTTTTGCCATTAACTTCCCCTCTAAGTAAAAGTTTCGGTTTAGAATCAGAAGAATAAGAAAAATCAATTGAATTAATTTTTAGTTTTGACGAAATTTTTTTTTGGATGAACTTTCACCAGTAGACTCATTAGAATTATGAATACTTGATAAACTACTTTGAACAGCTTGAAGAACTTGACAATTCTTCTTAGAATGTCCTTTTTCACCACAAATCCAACATTGGAAAATTTGCGAAGAATTTTGATTTTGGGAATTTGACCTAAAATTTCCTTTAAACGAATTATTTTTATCATCCTTTTTAAAATTATTTCTAAAGTTATTATTTTTATTGGAATTATAATTTTTTTTACTAAAATTATTATTATTCTTATTATTAAATTTATTTTTATACTGACCTCCAAAGGTCAAATCTTCAATCGACTCAAGCTCTAAAGCTCTCTGAGTTGCTAATTGAAGAGACTCAATTCTCTCTGAACGGAGAGAAAATTTGTAACTTTAATTTTTTTAATCCGGAAATAAATTGTAAACCAGCAATTCTATCTCTCTCTTCGGAAGAGACCGAAGGATACGCAAATTTGACAAGCCTATCCAAATCATTTGAAAAATCAGTTAAATTTCCATTTTCAGACTGTTTTCTAGCCTGAAAACGACTAAAATAAGCTCGAGAAAATTGAGCTTCACCAAAACGATCTTCCGAAATTTTCTTAAATTTATCAAAATTCCCTAAATCTCATAAACTCAAATTTTCTAAAATGACTTGAGCTTTGTCCTTCAAACAGGACACTAAAATCGATGCTTTAACTTCATTTGTCTATTTATGCAGACGAGCGATAGTCTCAAATTGACGGAAATAAGATTCCCATGTCTGAGAACCATCAAATTTTCCTGGTTTTGCAAAAGCTAAAGAACTATTATTAACTGAAGAAGTTGAGACCGATTCAACCAAATTATTAGAGTTATTTTCTAAATTATGAATTTCCAGATTATTATTATTATTATTATTATTATTATTATTATTATTATTATTATTATTATTATTATTATTATTATTATTATTATTATTATTATTATTATTATTATTATTATTATTATTATTATTATTATTATTATTATTATTATTATTATTATTAATTAAATTTCTTATCTCTTCAAATAAATTTTGAGTCTCTCTTCGACCTTCTTCAAAACGAATCTGATCACGATTTAGTCTTTCTTCCAAACGATTCAATCTCATCTCTAAAGCTAGAAGTCCTCTATTACTACCGTCTTCGACACAATCAGCATATTGAGTTCTCCTTCCAGCTCGAGTTTGTCTCCGACTTGGACTCTTTGGCATGATTTTTAAAATATTTTTCCAGAAATCACCAACAAAAATATTCACGGCACGCGAAACGAACCACTTTCTGACACCAATGTAATATAAGACTCAATAACAACTTCGGAAAATTAGTAAATTAATTAAAATGTTTATTAATGATTGACAGCAATTAATAAAAAGAAAGAATCCGTGCGGTCAACTCAAGTCTCAGACAAAAACTGGAGATAAACAAACTCTCCCCTCGTTGCTATAAACAATCTAATCGTCAAGCAATCGTTGTTAACTAACAAACTGTCGTTAGTCTAATAGTCATTAGATGGCGACATACAAATATTTTACAATATATTTTACCCTTCCTTATAATATACTTGAACTCATTTTTTATTCAGCCAGAGCCTAGTTATTTATCTTAGAAAAATAATTTTTAGCGATTCTTACCGTCCCATAATTAAAAATATCGGAACGGCAACGATTTTATCATTGGCTCAATACTGGATCAATACCGTCATGGTTGACGGTATTGCGTCATTAATGGCTAAGTGGAACCGAATATTGTCCCATTGTTGGGCTGATTGAAAAACCTTACGTGGAACACAGACATCATCTTAAAAATGATGAATTCAAACTCTGCTGACCTTGAAATGGAAGATTCGTCAAAATTTCTAGTTTGATTAATCCGACCCATTACCATAACTTCCAAATGGGAAGTCAATAAACAAACCAATCACGGATTGCTATCAACAAATTTGACACATCAATTTTTGTTTTCGTTCGTATCTGCTCTGTTGCTTTCTTGCTGTTTTATTGCTATTAACTAACTGTGGTTTAGTTCATGAGAGTAGAAATATTCAAATATTTGAGTAGAAAAATAAAATCTAATGAAAAAATCGGAGAGAAATTTCTTGTATATTTTTTTTCACTTGTATTAGGGATAAACCAATGGAATTGGCGAAACAGAAAAATCACGACCGAATTATTTTTAGCTATGCCATGAATTTAATATTCAGTTTTACGGTATATGTCGTAAATTCAGCATGGGTTTCAGTAGGTTGAATAAAATTTCATTCTCACTTTAGCATGTTTGACTAAAATTTAAAACCTTTACGCATGTATGTCTTTTTATTACATTTCATGCATTCCTCATTCATAAAAGTCTCATAATATGTACCTATAATTTTATCTGAATATTATACAATATCTGGAGCACTGAAAGTATTAGTAATTTTTTTCACGTCGCCTACGGTGTTCTGGAATAATTGGTGACAATTCATAGCTTTCGGAGTAGCAGCCGATGCCACCTCGATTGACGTACATGGCAATTCGATGTTGCCCTGAATGTTTCCGGCCATCAGTGTTAACTACAAATACTGTCGGTTTTATCCATATCTTTAGAATCTTATTTGCTGGATATACGCTCATCGTATAAGCCAGGATGTATTTAAAAGATCCTATTATTTGTGGTGTATTCATCGTATCTTTAGCATTTGTTGTCATCACAACTTAAATTTTGCTTTTTTGTTGGAGTAGCCGTAGATTCAATACACATTGATGAATTATTTGTCAAGCCAATCACATTAATAATAAACAACTGACGTTGAACAATGGCCTGTAAACAAGTAAGTCAGATCAGAGTGATATGAACGAACGATTTCTACGGTTGATGAAACGTTTATGATGGCTTATGAGACGAACTGTCGATATTTATAATTTTTTCACACACAAGCGTTCATAATAAGCGTTTTGGCATGAGGCCACGTGTATGAATCTGATCCGCATTGCGTGTAACAGCCCGTAAATAAATACAACCCCTCCAGACTGATTAGATTTATGGTAAACCTTCATACCATGGAAAACCATATTATAATGTCAATAAAATATTTGCTTGTTGTTTTAATTCCAATAATAATGCATTGAAGAATTCAGGTGCAATCATCCAGTGACTAATTATATTAGCTTCTAATGCTATTTTTTTTAGCAGAAAGTCCACGTCCACGATAACATTGTCAATAGTTTCACCATTAACACCACCATGAATAGTGATAGCCTTCACTTTCATGCGTGTTGAAGGATTTATAACTATCGCATTGTCGAAGAAGTTTCAATCATTTTGACTTTGGATTTAACAACTGAAGCTGTCATCAAACAATAGAGAAATCGAAGTTGCGTTAAGCGTCGGTGTGTTTTAACACCGTTTATTTAAAAGTGTTTTCGGTTGAATACAGCACAATATAGATGGTCACGTAAATTACAGATTTTTTTAAATGATGTTGGCATTTTTTTTTTAGATTTATTTTCATCTCTATAACTTTTTATTTTACTAGGGGTGTCTTGAGTCCATTCAACAGTACTCGGATGAGCATTTTTTTGCATTACAACCATAATTAAAATATGTTTCGATTTAGCATAAAAAAACTATTTCTGACTTTTTTGTTCAATTGATTCGCGATTTTTATTTGTTTTTTTATTTATTGAGTTAATTATATATAGTGCATACAATTCTGATCCGAGCGAGGTTGGGTAATTTGGATAGTTATTTGCATTTACGCTTACCTCTATTAGATTATATTTGTCGAAACACACTGGTAAATAATTACATATGAATACGTTCCAAATAATTAAAACACTATTTATGAATAGAGTTATAATAATAATAATTTTATACATCCTATTTTTTTAGACAAGACTTGTGTGTTATTCCAATTGAACTTTGTTCGTCATCTATGAATTCGTTTAATTTATCAATTGAACATTCAAGACTAAAGACCTATGTTCTATGTTAAATGCGACTTATTTATTGCATTCAAATATACTCAACTGAGATTTATTTTTTAGCTTCGATTTAGCTATATGACATTACACATATAGTACTTACATTTGATTTGAAAGTAAAGAGGTTCACTTCGAGATTCATGCACAGAGTTTGTTGCTATACAAACATAGTATCCACTATTCATTTTGCTGACACTTTGTAGTACAAGGCTTCGATTCGATTGTATCACTCTAGCAGTGGCATTATGAACTAATTGATGACCCTGAAAGAAAAATTAACGTTTACTTTATTCTCTTGCTTTCTACAAAGAGACTATGCGACATAAGTAATGTCTCTTTTGAGAATAAATATGCAATTCTCTACACGTACCTATACCAAATTAAGACATCATTTATGTCGTGTAGTAGATCATAGAACGCAATGATTGAAAATTATTCGAGATCTTTTTTGTAGATAATTTGATTCTCTACAAGAAAAATCCGCAAAAGCATATATTTTACCTATTACAGATAAAAAAGTGCAGTTCTCTGAGCACGTGCACCGAAAAGGACAATTACGATAAAAAAAAAGTAAATAGCTGGATTCGAACGCAGCATACACACGTTCAACTGAGCTGTGTCCCTTCTGTGAAACTTCAAGTCTCCAGATGCATTTTTTCATTTTATAAAAACTCTGAAGCAGAATAACGTTGCGAACAATAAATAAGAATAAAAACCAAAATACATTCATTAATAGAATGAATTCTGGAGAATTTGATTTTCAACGTATACTTCTGTTATGAACAAATACAAATACAAGGTTACGATAGGTTTAAAAAAAAATTAAAAAAAAAAAACAATCGGAAAAATCAATAAGCACTCTTGATAAAGAAAAATTTTACTAAATTACTATTTTTATGAATTATTGATAAAAATTGCTAAAAGAAAATCTACAAAATTTGAATTATCTTTTCCGGATGGAGTTATAAAAGTTGGCTGAAAAGAGATCTTGAAAATGTACATAATTTTAGGCTTCACATAGAAGTATAAGTTACAAAAAACGGGTTCTTGATTTTTTTAGGGTAAAGAAAAAAATGTTTTCTTAAACTTGCAAAGTTGAGTAAAAACAAGAAAAAATGCCGCTTACAATAATATAAAAAATCAAAAAAATAAGTGTTTCGAAAATTCTTACGGGAAATTGTTATGTAATGTCTGAATGTAGTTTAATTACTTTACATATTTAAAATATATCTCAAGAGAAGCTGAAAATAAATAGCAATAAAACTTAAAGGATGAGGTTCGCGATTATTACTTAAGTTATTTTCCTTTGAGTTTTCTTAAGATTTCGTTAAAATAGAAAAGGTTTTGAAGAACAGTTGAGGAAATCATCTTTCAGATATGTTATTACTTATGGAAAACCCACGTAGCGAAAAGCAGTAAGATTTAAAAAAAAAGTACGTGACGTAAGAAGAGCGTTAGCTTTTCAAAAAAGGAAAAGACCATGAAGCAAGGGAATTCTAATTATGTCACATTCGACTAAATAAATACGTAAGGTTTGATGCATCAGTCAGTTGTCGAAAAAGTAAGATCGAGATCAGATCGTCGTGGAACATCTCTTGAAACCGTAAGCCTTGTTTTGTCTTGAACATTTTATTGACAATATTTCAAAGTTTGTAAATTTTTGTATGAAGATTATTTGATTGTCAAATTATTTTTAAATTGATATTTAAACTGATTCGCGAGTAAAAGTGAATAATTGTGCTGACTGGAGCATCGACTAAGGACCAATTAAATCATTTTCACAAGTAGGTTTTACTAGTTCTTTGGACAATGACAACTCCTGATTCATATCGATAAGATGTCTTTTCAAGGTCATCATTTTCAATTGATTCATTAATGGATTACTCGCATAAATGTTAATATTAGTTTTAGTTCTTTTTTATTGGAAAACTTCAATTTCTAGATCATTACACGTCCGTTATGGCAGTGGCAAAGGGACAGCTCGGCGAACTGTTTGGAAATTTGTAAATGTCTTATACAAATACCGACCAACATTTATCACGTGGCCTACTCAGGCTGAAGCAATAAGAACAGCAGCCTATATTGGAAATAAATACTGATTTCTTGAAGAAATCAGAAAATTTGTAAAACATAAATCAATGCGCAAAATTACATAAATCGTACAGGACTATATTCGATACAGATGTAGGTGAGAAAAAAAACAATGACATTTCTAACATTGTGTATATGTTACTATTTTTTGTACATGGAAGAAAGTAATCAGAACTTAATATCGTGCTAAAAAATAATCTCTCAATTTAAAAACGATTTTTACAAGAATGGACTAGTTACTGAGTCCAATTTTTAGAGTTATTGTTACGGATAGTTATCAGTACTGGGCTCACACGAATCATTTACATTCATTCAAATTCATTTCTATGGAAATCATTTTTTTATTGACAGATTATTATGTAGCACACGACTGAGACGTGTTTTTTTCATGTCATGTATTTTAATTCATAGGTTACATGTGATCACACTTTGAAGTTTATTTACGTGTACTGCGGTAATGTCGGCTCTGTTCACAATGCCCGAGTTTTTGGACTATCGGGTTTACAGAGTTAATGTACTCCTGCCAATTTTCCTGAAAATACCCGCTTATTAGCTGACAAAGCTTATAGTTTGCAGCTGTGTCATGGTCCCGTATAGAAATAATTATCATTTGGGTGCTACTGAAATCTCTTATTACATTGTAACATGCTGTATTTTACACAATATTTAACTTTAAAAGAAAGATCCAACTGATATTCTAATTATTATTAACGGAAATATTAGGGTTTAACAAAATGTTGGACAACCAGTAGGAATAACAAATAGAATGCAAATTGAGGAGCGCCTTAAACGATTACGAATAAAAAAAGCATTGTCGATACGCCACTTAGGCATTTTCTCTGGATTATTCAACACAGCTTGATATTTAAAATCATACCAATCGCCTACAACATGAGAAGTGCGACAACTAGATGTGGCTTCGTCCTCGTATACTCTACTGAGGGCGTCAGCAGCCTCATTTAATGTCATTCTACGATGCTCGATGGTCACATCATGTGCTAAAAGCTCCATTGCCCAACGAGCTAATCCACCTAAAGGATCTTTTAAAGTATATAACCACTCAAGGCAACTGTGATCGGGGTAAACGGTGAATAGTGTGTTCTCTAAGCAACATCTCCATTTTCTAATGGCGTGGATCACTGCCAAACACTCTTTTTCAGTGGTAGTAAAGTTCAACTCTGCCCCTCTAAGTGGGCGACGAATACAATATATTAGATGTTCCCCTTGTCCGTCTTTCTGAGTTAATAACGCAGCTATTTCGGTGTCAGAAGCGTCAGTCTATACATAAAAACGCGAATCTTGACGAGGCATACTCAACGTTGGAGCTTCAACTAGAAGATCGTTAATCTCACGAAAGGATCTATGACATTCCTTCGTCCACTGCCATGTGACATTAGGACTACAAAGTTCATTTAATGGGGATTGTATTTTCGCCATGTTAATGAGGTGTCGACGATACCAATTGACCATTCCGTTAAATCTCTTGAGTTCCGTACGGTTCCTAGGAGCTGGAAATTAGACGATAAGTTTGAAACGGTCAGGATTCGGTCGTAAGCCCCGCGAATCTACAATGAATCCCAAAAACTCTCCTTGTTTGACTCGATCCACCAATCCAAAGTAAAACTGTGGTCAAGAATCACATCATTAGATATTTTTTTTATGACGTAAATATACGAATAGCCTTACCAACCATCAACAGATATTTTAAATTTCGCGGTGAACTCTGGTCTGCCAATGGTAACTCCATCTGCGAACTTGGTTCCTCTTTGTGTAACAAAGTCATATTCTTTAAGAGAAATATGACAATCTTTCACTCTTTCATAGAGTGCTTTTGACATAGATCTTCTGTCACTCCCATCATCGATAATACCTTGTACCTTCACGCGATTAAAATCGATTTCAATAGGTGAATGGATAGTTACGTAAAAAGTGATGGACCAACAGCCCTATCAGCTTGAGGAAATTTTTTCAACGAGCTAATATGAACTTGATTCTGGCAATTGCAAGTACTAAAAGCATTATTATCTAACTCTCTTTCGGAATTGACATCTATTTGTATTTGTGATTTTCCGAGTCTTACTCCTCTGACTCATACTCTAATTCACTACCACTGTATTCATACTCATCTACTTCCCCCTCCTGATAGACATCTATACCATTGATAGTACCTACTTTGACATTTACTCTAGCACAGTTATAACACCGGAGTGGTTTTCTTTGTTTATTCAGTTCTTCCGAGTTATCATCGCGATTGCTTTTGCGAAAGCTGCCATCTAAATTATTATCGTAGCCTTCTCTGTTTGTATTGACCAAATAAGTGTGTTCTCCATCACCACTAGATTCTCCCCCTTCTTCAAGCCCTTTTCCTACCAGGTCGTCTGCTGCGACGACCTCGGTCGCGCGAGCGTGATTAGAATAGTTCAACTGAGGATTCTTAATATAATAGTTCTTTTACATAATCACTATAACTATCAAAATCAAAAGGATGGAAAACAAGGCGCATAATTTCCAGTAGGACTCCTTTGTGTGTGATCGCAAGTTTGCTGTGGTCTGACATAGGGCTCTCTCTCTCTCTCTCTATAACGAATTCCGTCATAGCTTGCATAAAGGATTGTACTGATTCACCGCGTGCTTGACGACGAGAGGCCATCTCAGCGTAAATCTGGGCATCAGGTTTCTGTGGTATATAAAAACTTATGAAATCTTTCTTAAATTCGCTCCAGCTATTCCACTGGGCTGGAATAGCTGGAGTCCTTCGTGTGTGATCGCAAAAAATTTTTATAATTTTTCCGGATGCATCACTAGAAAGAACATCGTTTATTACCAAAAAATGAATTGTTCAATAACCATAACTTTTATGGGAACTTTTTTTTTTATAAACGATTAAAATTTAACAGACTGCTAATTTTTAATAAATTCAACATTCTGTTGATAATTGATTATCAAAAACTTACAAATTAAATGAAAAAAAAATTTCAATGATTTTTTGATGCATCCAGAAAAATTATAATATTTTTTAATTGTTTTTTAAACTTTTTTTTTGTTATTAAGAATTTTTCTCACTTAATGTATCTGAAAAATAAATTCTACGCACTTGAGAATACTTGAGATTCAGTAAAAACTGTTGAAAAAAGACGTACAATTTACAAAATGGCACGAAAAAAGTGCGTGG